TAAAAGTTACCAAGTTGACAGGTTTAAATAGATCATGGAAACCTTAAACTTTCATTTCTAATACAACCTACTTAAATCCACTTGATTGACTTGATTGCATATTTCCAGAATGCAAAAAAAAGTTGAAAATATATATATAAATGTAAAAAATGTGTTTCATAAAATGTTTTTGTACACAGTCACAAAACTATTTCTATTCTAAACTCAATTGAAATAGCCTGTTTCACAATATAAAAAAGATCAATGATCGAATTAATTTATATATGAAAAGATCTGCATAAATTTTAACCAATCATTTTATTTTTGTTTTGCATTGCATGGTCTTTTTTCATTCCCAACTATATAAAACCACCCTCCCTAAATGCAATCTGTAACTTCATGTGATTTTATGCATTGTTAATCATGTAACCTTAGAAAATTTTTACAATTACATTAATTTGGCTTTGACTTAATTCCCAAAAACTCAATTTTTAACTGTGTCTTGGCTCAATTATATGTTTTTCATATGACTCAATTAATTACATCAAAAAGTCACTCAATTGAGTCAAGTGTAAGCATGTTAGCTGAAGTTGGCTCTCTTAATAATGGTGAATAGTTTTTCATAAATGCCAAAATTATATCTGAAATTAAAAGGCTGGGGAGATTTTTATGTCTATTGATACAAAGAATATTGTAAATCCAAAATTGCTTGCCAAAATTGATTTTCCAAAAACCATTTTGGCTAACATTCTTATCAACCTATTTCTACCATAGTTAACAAGTTTGGAATTGTCCATACAATGAACAAGCAAAATCAGTTAATTCTCTTGAAAAATATATTAACTTAAAAAAAATAAATACAATGGAACAAATTACAATAGATAGATTCATGTCTTGAATTTTTTTTTAAAAATTTTAATTAGTGTCACATGAGTCACCAATATGTGCAGCCAATACAATGCTTTAATTCCCTAAATGCACGCTCCCACTCATTCCCAAGGGGGTGCACTTAGGGGGGTTGACTGTAATAATTTTGTATTTAAATACATATCAAAATTATTGGTATCCATTTAAGTCTCATTATAAAAAATACAGCCAGCATATGCAATATAAAAATACAAACTCACTTGCCAAATATACTATTCAATATTAAACCATATAATTTGGGTTGTGTATTTTTAGATTAATTCCATTTTTTTGATTTTAAGTTGTTGTTAATTTTTTGTTTATTGGAACTAGAGTTGTCTGCTTTGTTAAACAAACTTAAAGATTTTCTCTTATTTAATGACATTTTAAAAATAATGAAATGAAATAAATCAAGAAATTCAATTATACATTTTATTTGTTTCCTATATACTTTTAGTACAATACATCATGTCTTATATTGTTATTTATTTAAGATTTAAATAACCATAAATTGTTATTTTAAATACAGTCAACCCTCCATAAGTGCACCCCCCTTGGGAATGGATAGGGTTGTTAATGGAACATAATGGGTTGGGTTGGGTTCATATTATAGTGGAGCAAGGGTTAACCTAACCCAACCCGGATTCTCTCTATAACAGACAAATTCCCTGGTCCCACTGATCCGTTATAGACAATGTGGACTGTACTGATATAGAAGATGTGGAAATTGAAGATGATTTATTACAATATATAAACACTTTTCCAAAGGTAATTTATAGGTTTATTGTCATTTTATAAGTTTTACATTTTATAACACAAATTAATTTCCTCCAGACTTTGACAAGTAACATAAGAGATATTTTAAATCAAGCACATCCCAAACTTGGCAAAACTTACAATTCACATGTGGTTTTTCAATATGAGCATGTCTGTACAACAATTTCAGATTGGTAAGCATTGTTTACTCTTGTGGATCTTGTTGTTGTTAATTCATAACTCATATATTTATATCAATGATTAATATTATATGCAGGCTTAGGTTGTTGGGGTCAGAGCCAAATCCACTCACATTAAAAAATTTACCAGAATCATGGTATCAAATACATGTCTGGAGCAGGGTTGGAAAATGTGTGGTCCATTGGGTCCATTAGTGTAACAGGTTAACCATATTTAGTATTTTATT